CGGACGCATGACACACTTAAATGCTAGTGATGCCGCGCGATGGGACAGCGTTGCTATTACTTTTAGTACTATAATTCGCCAATAGATAGNGTCACACAACTCGCGCAAATGTCGGGAAACATTCATAATTTGACGCGCTTTGACTGCGCGCGCGCTGCACGACGCGCCGACGTTTTTATACCCCGCTCACATAAATTCCCCCCGGATACACTATATTTCTGGATCAAAATATTAGTGGATCCCCACTTTATTGTAGGCACATGTTGTAAGTGGCGGGCTTTGCGAATTGACGCGTTTGATTCGGTTGCGAAACCGCCGCTTTATTGCGTTATTTATCTGTTGAAAGTTCGTAAACATGACCGAGATTAGTGCAGGCCGGGAGAAAGATTACTGTGACGAATATACGATGAGTACTGAAAGATGGATGTATGAACAACAAAGTGTACTTATTTCTGTATGTTACAGTCGTCCTCAGAGACTCATTGGGAAGTCATTATCTTTTACCCTTTTTGTGACATTGTATGCATTCAGAAATAATTTTCTGTTACATGCTCGGTAAATTTCGCTACCTGCTGATGTCTTCCACAACATTCACATGACAACTAATAATAAGGTTTAATTAATTGCCATTGCCAATCAGAGTGCTCGTCACACGTCTAAAGCCAAGTGCGTCATCAAATACGGCACTTAGCACTAATGCAGCCGACTCTATCATAAAACGGACTTACTATCGCGAAGTTGCGCCGTAATATGCAAGTGGAAGCCTCAAAACTCGAAGCGGTCCATTAGAATAATATCAAACCCCATACGGCAACACCAAATGACTTGCCGAGTGCACTGTATTAGGGTCTCACTACACCAAACATAAGTTGTAGTATCAATAAGTTTCAAGCTTTTTCTAATTACATCTACTTATTCCTTACAAAAATCTTTCGTAGCAAGCAGTACGTACGTACGCATTGCTACAAACACACCTAGATAAAAACGTAAGTAGCCTTCGAGATCTATCGCAGAAATAATTACTGTAGCACTCAAATAGTAGCACGTAGCAGTACGTAGCGCTGTATGTAAGTCGTCTACGTACCCATGCATGTAGCAGTTTTATCGGACTGCTACAGAAAAACCTAATGCAGTACTGTAGCATTAGTTTACCGTAATTCAACTACAAGTAGTCAAACTGTAGCACGTAGCAATACGTAGCGCTGTATGTATTGTCGTCCAGATACTCACGTAGCAGTTCTATCTGACTGCTACAGAATCACCTATACCGCGACACTTTGTAGCGTACAGTTTCGTAGTGTATTGTAGCCTTCGTAGTCGCCTGCCAATATCGTAGCCCTCGCTACTCCCTAGTTCCGTGTGGTGTTGCCCTTAATGCAGCCATATGGCTAAGATATCGCCCAAGTTGGCCCATCGCGGTGGTAGACGGGCTGCGGTCGCCCAAAGATACGCATTGTCTTCAGACTCCTAATGCCGCGGTCAGATCCCAATGGGCTCTTAGCAGGAACGATTGCAGTTCCTAACGATGCATTCTTGGTGACGAAAGCTTTGGGAATCTACCAACTACTTCAATTTCAAGAAAGACAGATTTATTTTTCTAGTTAGGTAGTATAAATAAATACATAGGTCTGACTGAAGTTATTAATAACTACGACTACTACTTTAATGTCTCTATTTTATGTCACTCTGAAATTAAGTAATTATTGGCATTAAGGTTCTCTAGACTAGAAACTAGAAAAAAAAAAGACTAATAACATAAACACGTATGACGTAACATTGTAAAAATATGTGTTAGTTACTTTTATCTGTCCGCACAACTTCATACGTTTCTCTTGGAATAAAATCTAAATCCAGTTCCTCATAACAAGTACAAATCTATTACAGCGGTCTCTTACCTCTTACAGTATCTTGTCACAATAATATAAACATTCCGCGGATCCCTGCTAGTCTGCTACAATGTTGAAAGTGCAGGGGTCAGCCGCATGCACGGTGCATGCGGAACCCGGCGAAAGAACATTGTCATCAACCACTCCTACGCAAGGTGCTTAGTCTGGTACCGCTCGACTATCCTGCAGTTAATTGCGTTCGCAGCAATGTAATAGAAAATTTGAATAACATCATTTCTTCGTATAAATCTAGTATAGGTATAAGAATTCATAGGTATGAATTCTATCACAAGGAAATTAATTTCCAAAACCTTTCAGGATTACTAAACCATTCCGTTCAGAAATTATAGGTTTTATAGCTTAGATAGAAACACTTAAAATTACGTCATAACATTTTTTAAGAAATTTTTATTTGAGAAAGAATGAAGACTATCTGCTGCTGGTCTGGTCAGCTAAATAATATCGCCCTTAATGATAAAATCTGTATTATACAGTGATCGATATAAGAAAAAGTTTGTAACTTTATTAATTTAAATTAATGAAATATCAGGAAAAAACAGTATTTTTTCCTTAGCATGAACGTCGCTATTTATTTAAACTATTTATTTTTTCTTTCGACACCAAAATCCCACCCTTAAAGCACAAAAGCATGCAGTGTGAATATCTTGGCTGGGTGTCCAGTGGACTTATGTAATTACTGGCCGCCCCGACTTGTTTATGGCGCTTAAATATTAGCCACTTTTCCGTTTTTATGCGCGCGGTAATGGCGCTAAATGTGTGACGCTGCAGTCGGTCATTTAGGGAATTTAAGGAGATGAGGTCTCGCACGGTGTGAGAATATTGTCCATTATTCTCTAGGCTGGACGCCGCTAATTTAGCGTGAGTTAGATGGAATACTATGACTGTGACCACCCAAGTACTTATTATAAGAAATGGGGAGATGGTGCTAGCTAGGCAAATACGATTGTCTGGCTGGGGACAAATAAATGACACACAGGAAAAAACAATATCTATATTCTACTACTACTACTATACTACCATCATAAGTATGTTTTTGCATTAGGACAAGAAATGTAAATAGTGCTATGATTTAGCTTACATTGAGCACAAGCAGTCTATCCAGGTTCCTCTACTGTTCAATAAATAGATAAGATTACCGATGTTTCTTATAGTGATTTTTTTACGTTACATAGCATGTTTCCTGGGGAATATTCTTAATTACATTAATATTATTAACTATTATCCGTTATTTTTACCAATGTTCTCTGTTTCCAGGAGTGCACTGAGCCGGCACGAGTGTAATTTAGGCGAGCAGAGGTGTCCTCACGAAGGCTGCGAGATTGTCGCCGCCAACTCTTGCGTCCTGGCCAAGTAAAATTATTATCAAGTATTTTATTAATCTTACTTTATCGCATGTTTCATTCAACAATATTTTTGAAAAATATTTAGAAATACCATTTTACGTAAATAACGCCATCTATTGTGTAGCGGACGCATGACACACTTAAATGCTAGTGGTGCCGCGCGATGGGACAGCGTTGCTATTACTTTTAGTACTATAATTCGCCAATAGATAGCGTTTCATTTATCAATTTACAAAATATCACGATAGATGTCGCTGCTAGTCTGCAACCGAGTCAAACTATTTTCTAAGAAGTAACGATAGAGGTCTCTAGTTGTTTTAACAAAACTAAAACCTAGTTGAAATATTTTGATTACAGCACTAATATCAAACAATTTCTTTTAAGGCACAGAAGAACTCATGGGGAGAAGGTAAAATACCTTGAATGCAAGCTGTGTCCGTTCCAGACGGACCAGTCCAGCCATTTCAAGCGGCACATGAGGTGCCATGACGGCGAGAAGCCTTATTTATGCCCACACTGTGATTTCACCTGTGGGAGCTTGGTAAGGATCTTGTGATGTTAATAATGAGACAAGTTTTTGTTATAAAATGTTCAAAACGTTTGTAAAATAGGGTGAACACGCTAATACGATATGCGCTCACCAGTTGGCGCTACTGGCGAGTAGACTAGGGTCCTATGATTCTATCAGCCTATCACTACAGATTACTCAATATTTATCTCACTCGCTGGAAGACGTAGTATGGGCAGGCCTCCCACTAGGTCGACCGACGATCTGGTGAAGGTCGCGGGAGGCGCCTGGATGCAGGTGGCGCAGGACCGGTCTTTATAGAAATCCTAGGGGGATGCCTTTGCCCAGCAGAGGACGTCATTCAGCTGAAAGCAAATAAATACAGTACTTAGTAATCATTGATTAAACCACTTGATTTTTACAGGAGAACCTTCGCAAGCACGCCCTCAGAAGCAGCATGCACTCAAACGTGTCCCTGTACCAGTGCAACGAGTGTGCCTTCCACACCAACATGGCCGCCGCGCTGCGAAAGCACCTCGTTGCTGAACACGCTGCCAAGTACAACACCAAAAATGTCACGCACGATGTCAAGATGTGGCTCATGAAGAAGGAATAACTCTCCAGATGATTACAAGAGTGACTAATTTAATTAAGAATGAAAGACTGAAGAATTAAAATTTTGTAATGTATCTTATTACCCCACTTACCCGATATAACATTTAAATTATTAATCTTCATTCATAACATTCATCATCATAATTATTCTGGAAATGTTTTAACCACAGATATGAATTAGGGTTTTAACAATATGATTTGATTTGCTGATAAGGTATATATCTTTTGTCGCAAAAAATATTTCTATTGATTTTGTATTACATCGTAAGTATTTAATGACTAATACCACTAATACTAATAACAAGAAATAAAATATTTGTTTTAGGACTTTTTGTTTCTGTGATTTTAGTCTAGTTGGACTTTAACATAATTAGATTAAGGGTTAAAAATACAAAATGCGAGCTGTGTGCTGGATAAGACCATATTTTCAATAGCGGCGTAAGATGGCGCTAGTGTCTTAGAATAATATTTTTTACGAACTAACCATAAATATTTTAAATGAAACAAAATTAAGTATATAACTATTATTTAAATATTATGTCCAATAACTACATCAAAATAATAAACTTTATATTTTAAAAACAATCTATAGTAGTAAATGAAAATTGATTATGGCAATATTTTTTCCCGCTTCCAAACGTCAAACCGCCGGGCAGCGGACCAATGCGAGCCAAGTGCGAACGGAAAAAAATAATCGAGCAAGCGCGGCAGCCGCGAGCGGGCTGCGTATCGGTGTCTTATTTTGTCAGCTGATTCTGAATTTTCGATCGAATTTCCTCGCAAACCCGACAATATTAATGTATTAAACATTTTACAAATAATTACTGTGAATCACACTATTTTAATACAAGACTTGTTGTACAAATATTGATTGAGTGAGACTTGCAAATCGTTGAATTGTTGTGCAGTGCAAAATTTTAATTGATTTAAGAATAATGACAGTTGTATTTTCCGTGTAGTGGGTGACCTTTTTCCTGAAAATGTCGTTGAAGGTAAGATTTATTATTTTCAGTAATGAAAACAAATGAATGCCTACCTCACCTACCTGCCATTATTTTCTCGATTTCCAGTAGGTTTCCTACCTACCGTTTTTTTTTAACTGTAGGTAAGGTAGGTATCCTAAAGTTTTCAAGGTAGCTATGCCTAGATTTTATCTACTTTTTAATACTTACTTGATTTTTTTAAAGCATGTCCCAAGTGTAAATTAAAACATTCTGCAAACAATAACAAAACTGCGTGCGAGACACATTTTTACTATAATAAAAATTGCGCACTTCAAATTTTCACATTTTCCTGTAGACAGTCTATCTATATATATAAAAATGAAACCCGTTTCGCGTTGTCACGGCATCACGTGTGAACGGCTGAACCGATTTCGATAATTCTTTTTTTTAAATGTTTGTGGAAGTCCAAGGATGGTTCTTACGGAAAAAAATATTAAGAAAATCTCTACGCTAAGGCGGTACGAAGTTCGCCGGGTCAGCTAGTTTTAAATAATTTTGGGCATTACTGAAATAAAATATGTTTAAAGGTTGAACCATGGACCTATGGCAAATCATTATTAATTTGTCTGATAACTAGGTTTTGAAACTGTGTAGCTGTCTGTTTTAATGTTAATTTCTTTGATTTAGTATAGGGTTATATGTACCTATACTATTATGTTCAGTAAAAAAGTAAAAATTCAATTTATTTATTTACTGACATGGAAAAGAGAAGTATTTACCTATTAGGTATCAGTGAAAAAATATCCAATTTGGATTCAGCATCTCATTCAATATCTTATTGCATTGTAGGTAATAATGAATTTTTTAACTGTAATATTCAGATTTACCCATTTATTGTCCCGAAGCAGTGGTAGGGTTTTAATACTAGGACGTGTAAAAGTGCTTTTTAAAAGCCTATTTGCAAAAAATAAATGAGTTTTATGAGTTATAACTGCCTATATTATTTTATACCCTTTACAAAATATGATTTATGTAAGTAGATAAATTATGTGACAGTGAAAATTTATGAAATTATAAATTCATAAACATTTATGGATGCAAAAAAAATGTCTATGTAAAGACTTCTCAGCACTAGCCAATAGACATGTTGACACCACCAATCAATTGACGTACTTTTTAAAACTGTCAAAACGAAATTCTCCCATAGATTTTGTATGGCACTACAAGCAAGTGACGTCACTATTTTGTCAACTCAATCAACCACTTTTTTCAAAATTACAATGCGAACAAAAATCATAATTTACAGGTAATTTAAAATGAATTAAGTTTTTAGGACCAGAATAAAGGGTTTTCTTTTTAAAAAAGTTGTGGTTTCGAATTATTGGGGTATGGTGTCAATCTGTCTATTGTTGTCCTGAAGTGGTGGGAGGGCAAGTTATATTTGGGATGTGTATAATATTATAATTATAAGTGCCCTGGCGAGGGCCTAAACACTGAAGCAATGAACCGAAGCAGTGGTTTAATACTGGGACGTGTAAAAGTGCTTTTTAAAAGCCTATTTGCAAAAATAAATGAGTTTTTTAGTTTTTAATAAATGTTTATTATGATTATCCGTGAAAGAGCTGCATTTGGTTCCACCTATACATATAAAAATTATTTTTCTACTAAGAGGATAGAACATTTTGAGGTGGGTAATTATTACCTATCTAATAATAATTTTTCATATTATTATTTTCATTAATTGCTTAATTAATTAATTATCAGTTGGTGTAAAGATAACTTTTACATGTCAACCTTAATGACATTAACCCTACCACAGCTTAGAGACAATAATACCTAATTACAGCCTAATCAATAAAACGATTATTTTTTTTATTTAAAAAACTTAAAATAAGGTCGCGTCCACACGATGCGTACCTACTTTTGGTGCGGACGCGATATTTGTTATCCAAGACTTTTATGACCTTTATGAGGAGGATATGTTTTCCTTAACGCCGAGCGCATTCAAAAAGCGAATTATTGAAAAACTTTAATTATTATATTATTATTATTATTTTATTTATATACTAAAACTTTGGAGTGGGTCTGTAATATGCATGCTTACGATTACGATAAAATTACTTAATGTGACTAGAATTTGAAAACTAGAGAAACAGATTAGACACTTGAATGCGTGGGGTTTCATTGTTGTTGTCCGATTCAGTGTTGGTACTCTCTTGTTTGCCGCAGATCGTTTACAGTTGGTTCTGTAAGGTATCATGAAGTTCCATGTGGCCTTTGCGTTTTAAATAAATTTAAAAAAAAAAAAAAAACTTGTCAAAATAAGAATTTTCTACGAGTAGTTTCGGCCCTGTCTGACAGGCTGTAAAGCCTTCTTTCTAGCTAAATGTCAATGGGAATTACCCGAGTTATTTATTGATTTATTGTCAAGCGTCGCGTCAGAGGGATCAGNCAACATAATTATCTACACTAATATTATAAAGAGGAAAACTTTGTTTGGTTGTAATGAATAGGCTCAAAAACTACTGGACCGTTTTTAAAAATTCTTTCACCATTCGAAAGCTACATTATCCACGAGTAACATAGGCTACATTTTATTTTGGAAAAAAATAGGGTTCAGTAAAATATTTGGGTTTTTCAGAGTCCACGCGGGCGAAGCCGCGGGCGGAAAGCTAGTAGGCTATAATTTATGACGATATGTGACAAATAAATTTCAATAAATAAATAAGACGTGTCTAAAAAGCGCAATCTATCGTCATTGGTTAAAATCTACAGCGCTGGACAAACTACTGTTTTTGACGTTCGTAAATATTCATGCGGGGGAAGCCGTGAAGCGCCATCTATCAACATGATATCAAACAACATATTTTACGAACTAAGGAGTAAAACGAGGTCCACGCGTACGAATTATTTATAAAATTAATAATATTTGTATTCATCTGGTCTTACTTGACTTTTACTTTATGTATGTCATGCACGATGACATTTGTGTTAATATTTGTGTACGTCACCACTGGTGACAATCGATATTATTTATGCCATTTATCCTCAGTGGCGACAAAGCTAGTGTCGACAACCGAGAATAGACGCCAGTTGCGAGGTGACCATAGGTCCCAAGGGGAAATGTACGTGTACGTGCACCANGGGATCACAGACCTAAGGCCTCAGCCTCGAATTTAGCGGGCCGCGGAGCGGGAGCGGCGCGGCGGTGGCGCGGGAGCGCGGCGGGCAACGCAGACCCGTTCTCGAAACAAGCGGGCAGCTCGCGCGGCGCTTTAGCGGCGAAATGTTGTGTTCGGGGTTGTGTTGTCGAGATATTTGTTTTTATTCGCAAACGAAATGTCTGAACAACGGCGACAATTTTATTTCGATTCTTTATTTCTAACGCTCGATTTATTGTGGGCAAAAGAAGGAGTGCGCTGCCCGTTCGTTGCCCGCTCCCACGCCGCTGCCCGCTCGTTGCCCGCTCCCGCGCCGCTGTTTTCGAGAACCGGTCTATTTGATTTTACGCATAAGATCCTGCCGCTCCCGCGCCGCTACCGCCGCCGCCCCGCTGCCCGCTGAATTCGAGGCTGAGGCCTAAGCATTTGACATTATTTTACGAAACATTCACGAGAAAAGGCTCGTGCTCGTGATACTGAACAAGGAAATTATCCTCAGGGTTCCTTTTTTCTTTTGAGTTTACAAAACCCTAAAACACTAATCATTGTCTTACCCTTGTTGAGTGTAGCAGTCATCTGAAATAACTAATTCATACACAAATTGGATTACCCGACAGATTGGCGAAATAGGAAGGGCGGGAACCCCACCCCATCCCGTTTCACACATCTGGAGACGCAGAGGCAATAAAATATATAACACGAGTTTAAATTAAAATCACAGCAGCTACACTGCTCCACTACTTAAATTAAAAATTCGTAAAAATTACTAATAGGTAGGTACTTGCTCCCTAATTCAGCCCACGTATTCTACGATAAAACCTCTACGATATCTACCTAACTCTTTACTTTTTGTAGACACACCAGTGCATTATACCTACCTAACCAGCCTAATGAGCAGTGCAGACAAGAACATCCCATTAAAAATTAACGAACCACATGTTCGTCTTGTGAATTACAACACGAACGAAGGTAGAAAAGAGGAATTTGCTAGTTTTTGTTTTAATAAAAAATCCTATGCCTTGTCTAACCTATCCATCAACTCATCAACCATCAGGTTCTGTCGACGCGACAGAGGTGTGGCGTAACTGCCATTATTTGAGTCCATCTTTTACGGCTAATGAATTCGCATAATGTATCTGGAAACTTGATGCCGTACAGCAGGTTGGCTCGCATCATTCAACCATGATGTAAAAATGTAAACCTGTTATCTGAAGTGATTATTTTTCGATGCAGGACTCAGAGCCTGTTTTAATAGCATTTGACTATCGGGCCTAGCACGAATAATGTCAAGGTTGTGCTGTCATCACACATCTATTTGCTAGTAAAAAGTTCTTAACCCTATACTTGGCAAAGACGGTTTTGGTTAATATTTGTGATTTACACTATAAATATTGGATTTAGGACGAGTAAAAATCATGTAAAAAATACGAAAAAAAATCTTAGGTATGTAGTTTTGGAAATATAGTATGTATCTTTAAGTGCACATTGCCAGCTTTGTAGTAAATTAAAACATGCTTTATTTGTTAGTAAAAAATAGTTATTTAAATGAAAATTACTACAAAACCTTAAGCTATTCCTTATTTGAGAAATAAAAAATAAGTATCTTCTACAAAAAACTGCTGTTACTTAATGGCAAATAAAATGTTTGAGTTTGTGCTTTTAACTTCACGCTATCAATTGTGTCTGATTCGATAGAAGGAGCTGTTAGTATGTTTCGTCGCCATATTAGCTTAAAATTATTTTTCAATCTTGCTTCTGCTATTATTTTCAAATCACCACTAACCAGCCAAAACAGCTTGTACCTTCCACAAAAGAAGTTAATAAACGTTAGCCGTTACATTATTAATGTCGAAAGCACCCATAAACGTTTTCCTTAAAGATGTCGCT